GGGAAGAAGGTAAAGTAAAAGGGAAAAGAGGGCCACAACATATTAAACCCGACAAAATTTTTTACTGCCGTGTCGGAGCACGGATCGAGCCTCGATAATTTCTGAAGCTCTCGTGACGGGATCGACCCCCAAATTTTTATTAGAATCAAATCTAATCGGAAGTTTTGCGAGGAGTTCGAGTTCCAACAGAGCGGGCGTCGAGATTCTCAAATGCCGAGCCGTGAATTAGAGGGATCGAGCCTCGAAATTTCAGAAGCAAACCACGCTTTGACGTTTTTGCGCGGATCGAATTTGAAGGAGTAGTATGGAAGTGTTTTTGAAGTTAACTGATCGAGAAGGTTCTTTGAGGATCGAGCCCACCGACTATCGAAATACTACTCCTCCAAACCACCGAAATATTGATATAAGAGGATCGAGCCTCGAATTTTTTTTTTAAAGAATCGAGCCCCGAAAATTTATGGGCAAAAAATTTATCGAATTAGGAGATTTATTAGATCGAGCCCACTAAAGTTGTGGAAATAGATAAAGATTCGGAAGGAATTCTCGAATACTCTACGTAGCCCATTTTTATTATTGTATTTACTTAATTCCCAGGGACCATTTTTTGAAAAATAGTTCAATTGTCTGAGTAAGATGGACTATTTTAGGGTGAAGTGGGTCTCATGAATAAATATAATAATGAGAATTGGTACACCAACTATTGTTTTGCTTAAAATTCTCAAACATCACAGCATTATTAATGTCCTCAATTGGGGTATTATAAATTATCAATGCTCCATTTACAATGGATCGAGCCCACATGACAGATAGATCGAGCCTTTTATGTTGATAAGCTATAATAGTCGAGCCTTGGATCTCAGAGAGGGAAGGTTGAACCTCGAAAATTTNACCCACACGCTCTCGAAACCGTATCCCTTGGTATTTATGATTCCACGAGATGCGAATTCGTGCATTCATAAATAGGGGGGAGTAGTTGATAGGGAACGAGGTAGAATACAGACGTATCAGACTAAACCGACCGGGATAGAGCAGGTATTGGAGGGGATAGAACTGGATCGATCCCATACGCGTGAGGACCGATCCACGATCGAGCCTGCAAAGACGCGTGTGATCGAGCTCTTAAACTCGGTCTCTGAGGAACTACGCGATATAATTAATATAATATTTTAAGATGTTGAGGACAGGCCTATATATATGTTGAAACATTAATTATCAAAGGGTTAAGTCACATTTATTATTAAACAACCAAAATACCTTTACTGTTCATCGGCTCCATTACTCGTCTCCCAAATACTAACTTAAGCTTTGGAGGGTTTTACGCCGGAAAACCTCCGGCGTACTTTGCAGGCACTCACGAGCTTCATCTCAGACCGAAAACCGGAGAGAGGAAGACGCACCCTTGAACTAAGGACCATTCTGAACCGGAGTTGCTTACACGGAACCTTATCAGTTTGTGTGTTTTTTGAAGAATGGGGAGTTGTTGATGGACCAGTACCGCACTTACGAAAGGGTCGTAGATTACCACAGTGGCTTAGCGGCATATGATCCAAGGGATGGCAAGTTTAAGGACTTGGAGCCCTTGTCCCTCTCTCAACAACGAGCCTTTGGGACTGTCCATTCTACCAATCACCAAGAGAGTCTCGTCCTTCTCGACCGAACACTGATTGACGACCCACACACTAGTTGGCATTGTGAAGTTCAAATCCAAAAGGATGACAATTGAGTCATTGACACCCCCAGCCCCAGGAGAAAATTAAACAAACTGCGGCTTAGATATAAAAATTGTAACTATATATCAAATGAAAAATAACTATAAAGATGTCTTCCATGTGATTTACATAATAACAAGAAACTGAAGTAACTTTTAAGTTGAGAACCTAAACATGAAAGTACTTGTTAATCCAAATATTTTATAAGATTATTATATATTAACACAATTAAGCAAGTACCTATACAATATAGCAGAATAGGAATATGATAATTTGTATGCCTTTGCAAGACCGAAAAGTTAAGCAAAACAATTAAATTAAATGGAAAGTATGTGCACGAAGAACGTATTCAAAACAAGAAAAAACTGAACAATATGTTGATTAATTAGTTATTTGCCTTGAAAGTTTCAAGTTGCTTACCTGTGTGTGAAAGAGGCACAACCGGAAATGAGATAAAGGCACAGTATTCTCTGCTAGATAAAGTCCCATGTAGAACAGAAAAAACCAGTATATTAATATGTCATGAATGTTGTGTTGGAGAAAAAAATGCTACTAAAGAAGGCATTTCCATTCCTATATTGTTTTAAAGATGAAGTTCATGGTCAAAAACTGATGTACCAAATACCTATACTGTTTACTGTATATTTGTTAAGTGATTGGTTAATTGTGGCACATATCTCATTATTAAGAATTGACAGTATGGCTAACACTAATTACACAATTTTATCGTGAGGCTTAATTAGTACATTGTGGCACATACAAGATTTTATCGTGAGGCTAATTCACCCCGCTCAAACTAGCTATGTCCCAGGCCGTCAGATCACGGATAACATTATCATCGCACAAGAGTTAATCCACTCCATGCGTGGGAAGCGTGGGGCAAAGGGTTTCATGGTTATTAAAGTGGACCTCGAAAAGGCGTATGACTACCTTCGGTGGGACTTCATTGATGAAACGTTGCGGCTAGCGGGGTTTCCTGATACGTTTATTCGAGCAATCATGGCTTGTATCGTTTCTGCCTCGATGAATGTGCAATGGAATGGGACGATGGGTGCGGAATTCAAACCCACACGGGGAGTCAGGCAGGGGGACCCCATATCCCCATATTTGTTTGTGCTTTGTATGGAGAGACTAGCACAAATTATCTGTCAATCGGTGGCGGAGCGTGCATGGCGACCTATATCAACCGGCCGGGATGCGGCCACGGTACCCTTTTTGATGTTTGCAGATGATCAGGCGAGAATGCTGAGACAAGTGCTCGACGGTTTTTGCACTCGATCGGGACTTAGAGTGAGCTCCGAAAAGACACAAGTTTTCTTCTCTCCAAATGTATCGGTACAGGAATAAGGATGGCTGGCGGCGGTGATGAACTTCAAGTTAACGAATAATTTGGGAAAATACTTAGGCATGCCGATCCTCCATGAACGCATGACCAAAGTGACGTATAACCACATTGTGGAAAAGACGGAGGCGCGCTTAGCCGGATGGCGTATGAAAATGCTCTCTTTAGCTGGAAGAGTTACCTTACACAATCGGCCCTGAGCACGCTGCCCTGAATTATGTGCATTATCATATGAAGTAACGTGCATTGGCATGTGCAGTATGATAGTCATTATTATGCATTTTTTTTTTTAATTCTTAGTTATAAAGACCTAGTATATATATAACAAAATAATATTTTTTATATAGTTCGGTAGTTTCAATTATTTTAAACAATAAATAAACTAAAATTTTAAAAGTAATAATAAATAATCGACGAAAAATATAAAATTCGAACTCAAGACTGTGTATGACTGTTTTGGTCGCTATAGTGCAATCTGATGATTGCTAATGTGCAATACTTCTATCACTAATGTGCACTCGAAGTGCAACTATTTTTTATAAAAATATATTTACTGTTTTAATATTTATATTTAACCTTTGTATTACTTTTAGTTGAAAATACAATATATTTGTTATATATTATAAGGTGTAATTTAAATTATCAAAATAATTTATTATTTATATTATAAAATTATATTCAATATTTTAATATGCTAATTTAGTATTGTATAGTATTTTTTTGGTTTAAAATACATAATATATATGTTACTTATTTTCATTTAAAAATAATATAAAATGACAAATAAACGATTATAAATGCTAAATATGTTTTTATTATATAAAAATAATTTGAAAATTGAAAAATATAGTTAATTAAAAATTACATTATTAAAGTTTATAATATTCAAATGCACATAAAAATACCCGGTCAAATGCACATATCCTTATGAATTAATGTGTATTTTATTCATTATTATTGTGCATTTATTAGTATTTTTATTAATTTTTTAATAAATTACAGATTTAACCCATGAACTAAATTGTAATATAATTAAAATTTCAAAACTAACAACTAAGTCCCTTCAATTTATCAAATTTTCAAAAGAAAGTCCCCCATCCCAAATTTTGATCTGCGCTGCGTCGCTCCCATTCGCACAGCCACCCTCCCTTACCGCCGGTGATCCGCTCCGCCGTGACGAGACCTGCGAAGATCTTGCCGGTCGACCGAATTTAATGTTCATCTATTTTGGCTTTGAGTTTCGTGTTCGTCGATTTCTTGTTCACAACCCATTTTCTGAACAGAGAATTTGCAGGTGACGGCGAGATCGAGAGGCGTCGCGTAAGTGCGATGCGCAGACGCCGGTGGCGGGCTCGTCGAGGTGGCTGCAGCAGAGGGAGCGGCGAGCTGGGTGGATTTCGGATTTGCAGCGATATCCGACTTGCATGGACGCCACACGCGGCGGCGGAGATAGAGTTCCGATCGGTGATGTGGCAGATGGCGGTGATGGAGACGGCGGATTGCGGCGGTGAGGGGTGGCGGAGATGGCAGTTCGGGGCTTTGGGCGACACAGAGGAAATATTCACTGAAGAGAAAGAGGGTGTGAGTGGTTAATTGGAGTGGGTCCAACTGTGATACAATTAGGGTTTGTGGATGGGGAGACGTTAAATGGCCATATTACCCTTAATGAATTAATATTTTTTTGTTTTTTATTAGTCATTAGATCATCCGATCCAATGGTCACGATGTATTTTTATTTCTCGCATTAAGCATCATTCTCACCGGAGCGCGACCATATATATATATATTACCTTGGTTGTAGTGTTATGATTATTATTAATATAACGCTTTAATAAGTTTAATTACACATAAAAAATTATATTATGTTTTATTTGTAATTAAAATCTAAAAAATATGCTAAAATGTAACTATTGAAGATTGTTTGTAACAAGTAGTTTCATTGGTGGGTTATTTGGTCACATTTTTTTATGAAAAATTCTTATATTCCAAGTATATGTACCATAACATAGAAAGAACAACAAAAAAAATCCTATGCGGACTATGACACTAAATTTCCTATACCGACTAAAAATCCTATGCCGACTATGACTTTGAATAGACTAAAAATTTCCTACACCGACTATACTTACTTGTCTATATAATACAAAGGCCAGGCGAATCACACATACATAAATTCCATTAGTTAATCGGCAACAAAAATAAATTAAGAAATAATAAAAGTTAATGGAGTCCTCTCATAATTACCTGAGGGAAGATCTGTTAGTTGGAATCCTGGCGAGATTGCCGGTACAAGCTTTGCTCCGTCTTAGGGCCGTATGCAAATCGTGGAAGTCCATCATAGCCAGCCCCGAATTCTGTTCCTTGCACCTCTCCACAAACCACCCCTCCAAAATCTTGCTCACCACACGAGACCCTGGACAGCCTACTATAGCTAACGGCAATCACATACCCGAGCAGCGGTACTTGCTTCTTAACGACGACGAACATCTCCCTGCCGACCCTTCCTGCTTGGCCCCTTTCGACCTCCCCTTCCAAATCCCAGACTTAAACTCTCTCCACATACTCGGCTCCATCAACGGCTTGATATGCTTATCCGTCACCCCATCCTATTTGTGGGATGACGACGTGGAACTCAACATACCCATTCTGCTATGGAACCCTACCATCCGCAGGTATGTCTGCCTACCGGACCCCACCTTCAGCTACGCGTGGAACTCGTCCATCGAATTTGGATACGACGCCACCATGGACGATTACAAAATCATGGTCTTTAGGAACACCACTGCTGTCCCAGAGTACCACATCTATTCCTTGAACTCAAACACGTGGCGCAGAGGTAATTTCGAAATAGGAGACGAGCGCCGATTGTTGTTTAATAGCACGGGCGCTCTTGCTGGGGGCAAGATGCACTGGCTCGTCTCCAATGAAATTAATTTTGATGAGATGGAGCTGCTTTACAAAAGCAGCCTTTACTCGTTCGATGTGGCGGAGGAGGTTTTTGCAGAAGTGGGCTTACCGCCACCTGAGGAGGAGCTGACTCACCCCATGTTTACTGTAGTTAGGGACTCGTTGCATTTGGTACAAGCCTGCACGCTTGCCTCGGAAATGTATTGGACAATTTGGGTGAAGATGGACGCCGCCCGATCTTGTGATGTGTACTGGAAGAAATTGTACAGAGTGGATGTGACAGCTGTGTTTGTGTGTTTTCTGAAGAATGGGGAGTTGTTGATGGACAAGTACCCCACTCACCACCTTACTGGCCGGGTAGAAGATGACCACGGTGGCTTAGCGGCATATGATCCGAGGGATGGCAAGTTTAAGGACTTGGAGCCCTTGTCCCTCTCTCAACAACGAGCCTTTGGGACTGTCCATTCTTGCAATCACCAAGAGAGCCTCGTCCTTCTCGACCGAACGCTGATTGACGATCTACACGCTAGTTGGCCTTGTGAAGTTCAAATCCAAAAGAATGACAATTGAATTAAATGAGAAAGTATGTGCACGAAAAACGTATTTAAAATAAGAAAAAATTGAACTGATTTAAATATGTTGATTGGTTACTTGCCTTTAAAGTTTCAAGGTGCTTAACTGTGTGTGAAAGAGGCACAACGGGAAATGAGATAAAGGCACAAAGTATTCTGTTAGATAAAGTCCCATGTAGAACAGAAAAAAACCAATATGTTAATATGTCATGAATGTTGTGTTGGAGGAAAAATGCGACAAAAGAAGTCATTTCCATTCCCATACAAAAAATATTGTTTTAAAGATGAAGTTCATGGTCTAAAATTGATGTACCAAATTCTTATACTGTTTACTGTATATTTGTTAAGTGATTGGTTATCTGTGGAACATATCTCATTATTAAGAGTTGACAGTATGACCAATAGCTAATTACATAATTATATCGTGAGGCTTAATTAGTACACTATGCACCTTCAGAATTAGAGTAGAGACATATATTTGTCACGCTCATTTCAAAAGAACTATGCAATAGTAGCCCTGTTACCAATTATAATATATGGAAGCGATGCCAAATAGTAACCCTGTTACCAATTATAATGAATAAAAAGTGTGTCATTAATCTGCATGTCATTGTTCAAATTAGTTTAAATGTACGAAAAATAGTTACCCGATGACCTTTATACCGTTGCAACAGAAAAAATGAAATTACATAACAAAAGCAAACATAAAAATATGCATGTGAAAGACTTGTGAAAATGGCAGGGAATAGAAAATATTATAATGACATGACTGGTATAATGGAATGAAATTTGTAGGAATGGAATGTGTCGAAGAATGAAATGAATATGAGAAAAGAATGAAACAAGTTTTTCCATTGATGTGTTTGGTATCCCGAATGAATAAGACCAGGAATGACATTATCATTTTATATTATCATTTATCACTATTTTATAGAAGAAAAAAAATAATATTTATGTTAATGTTTTTTATTTTAATTTATGATAATAATAAAATTATTTTATTTCTTAAAAAACTATACTATATTTTAATGAATACATTTTTGTATTGTTACGGTCATATATATTATATAATAAATTAGTGAATTGTGTATTCATATACATATTATCTAATGCAAATATATCATTACCTAAACTCCGATAGACATATGTGGTCAAATATAAATTTTTATATTATAATTCAATTTATGAATAAATATATAATATATATGATGTATAAAAATAAAATAATATCTTTTTAAATTATTTATAAATTCATTTTTTTAGTTTTATTTTTATTTAAGATGGTATGGACATGCGCATATGAGAGACTTCGAGACCGGGGTGAAAAGGTAGAAATATTAAAATTATAACGCAAATTAAAAAAGGGAGGGGTAGACCTAAGAAAACTTGGAATGAAATAATAAAAAATGATTTAAAATATTTAAATTTGAATGAAAATATGTGTTTTGATCGTGCACGATGACGACGTGTGATCCATATAGCCAACCACACTTAGTGAGATTTTAACGGCTTGTTGTTGTTGTTGTTGTTGTATGTATGTATGTATGTATGTATTTAATATATCTAATTAAAATAAGAACCATAAAAAAAATCTAATTTGAAATTTATTTTTTAAAATAATTTTATTTAATATAATCTAATCATGATTTCTAGTACATATTGTATATTTATTTATTATTATTATTTGTTAATTCATCTTTTGAAAATTTTGATTCCTACAAATATGAGAATGAGAAAATCTTGCATTTGCTATGAAATGACTAAACATGGAGATGGATTTGCAATTCCCATTGAAATGGTCATTCATTTCAAAAAAGTATATTAATTATGGGATAAGAAATGAGTAAGAGAACGCTCATTTTAATCTCATATCATTCCCTCATACCAATCATACCATAAATGTTTTGATTACTTACTATCCTTTGAAGTATTCAAGTCGAAGAATTGTGAATTAAATAGTTCCAAACATTGAAACCAGAACTTTAGGAAAAGTCTTCCATCAACATAAACACGCGCATAATTAAAATTCATGAGATAGCAAGGCATTAAGGCTATCCCACACAGAAAATAAGAAAAATCATTCTACCAAAATAAAAGCTGTAAGTGATTTATATTATTTTCAGTACATGTATAAATGAAGATAATTGCAATTAACAAATAAATGAAATATAAAGGCATTTGTATTCTCCAACAAACCTATTATTGTTTTTTAAAGAATCAAATCTTTCATATAATTTGATTGAATAATGCATATTCTACATGTATTTTATAATATAATTATACTATTATTATTATTATTATTATTATTATTATTATTATTATTATTATTATTAGTATACAGTAATTAATGCATATTCTACATGTATTTTATAATATAATATATATTACTTTGGTTGTACTATTATGATTATTATTAATATAATGCTTTAATTACACATAAAAAAATATATCATGTTTTTATTTTTAATTAAAATATAAAAAATATGCTAAAATGTAGTAAATATTAAAAATTGTTTGTAACAAGTAGTTTTATTGGTGGTTATTATTTGGTCACATTTTATTTATGAGATGGCTCAGATAGGTATTACACGGAAAAATTCTTATACTCCATGTATAGGTACCTTAACGAAGAGAGAAAAAGAAATAAAAATCCTATACCGACTATGACTAGTAGACTCAAAATTTCCTACACCGACTAAACTTGTCTATATAATACAAAGGCCAGGTGAATGCACACATACATAAATAAATTCCATTCGTTAATCGGCAACAAAAACAAAAAAATAAAGAATTAATAAAAGTTATGGAGTCCTCTCATAATTACCTGAGTGAAGATCTGATAATTGAAATCTTGGCGAGATTGCCCGTAGAATCTTTGCTCTGTCTTAGGGCCGTATGCAAATCGTGGAAGTCCATCATATCCAGCCCCGAATTCTGTTCCTTGCACCTCTCCACAAACCACCCCTCCAAAATCTTGCTCACCACACGAGAACCTGCACAGCCTATAGCTAACGGCGATCACATACCTGAGGAGCGGTACTTGCTGCTTAACGACGATGAACATCACCCTGCCGACCCTTCCTGGTTGGCCCCTTTCGATCTCCCCTTCCAAATCGCAGACTTGAACTCTCTCCACATACTCGGCTCCATCAACGGCTTGATATGCTTATCCGTCACCCCATCCAATTTGTTGGATGACGATGTGGAACTCAACATACCCATTCTGCTATGGAACCCTTCCATCGGCAGGTATGTCTACCTACCGGACCCCACCTTCAGCTACGCGTTTATCTCGTCCATCGAGTTTGGATACGACGCCACCACGGATGATTACAAAATCGTGGTCTTTAGGAACACCACTGCTGTCCCAGAGTTCCACATCTATTCCCTGAACTCAAACGCGTGGCGCAGAGGTAATTTCGAAATGCAACCAGTCCCTAACCGCCGATTGTTGTTTGGTAGCACGGGCGCTTTTGCGGGAGGCAAGATGCACCGGATCGTCTCCAATTATATTAATGTTGATGATGAGGTGGAGCTTGATGATGAGATGGAAGAGCAAAGCAGGCTTTACTCGTTCGATGTGGCGGAGGAGGTTTTTGCAGAGATGGCCTTACCGCCATCTGAGGTGGAGGAGGAGCTGACTGAGGTTATGATTACTGTAGTTAGGGACTCGTTGCTTTTGGTAGAGCCCACGTTTGCCTCGCAAATAATTTGGGTGAAGATGGACGCCGCCCGATCTTGTGATATGTACTGGAAGAAATTGTACATAGTTGATGTGACAGCTAGGTTTGTGATAGGGAACGAGGTAGAATACAGACGTATCAGACTAAACCGACCGGGATAGAGCAGGTATTGGAGGGGATAGAACTGGATCGATCCCATACGCGTGAGGACCGATCCACGATCGAGCCTGCAAAGACGCGTGTGATCGAGCTCTTAAACTCGGTCTCTGAGGAACTACGCGATATAATTAATATAATATTTTAAGATGTTGAGGACAGGCCTATATATATGTTGAAACATTAATTATCAAAGGGTTAAGTCACATTTATTATTAAACAACCAAAATACCTTTACTGTTCATCGGCTCCATTACTCGTCTCGTGTGGTCATCTCCACTTTTGGTCGTTTTTCGGGTCGGTCCTCCTTCCCGTCAGATCGATCCTTGTTCTCCTCCCTTCTTCCGTTAGATTGTCCTTCTTTGAGTGTGACCTGATAGCACCTTCTTGCGATTTTCTGATTGCCAACGACTTCTCCCACCTTGTCACCGACTGGGAATTTCATCTTCATGCAATACGTCGAGATGGCCGCTTGAAAGGTGTTGAGGCTTGGTCGCCCCAGTATGACGTTATACGCTGAACTTGTCTCCACCACCAAAAAACGGATCATCTTTACTTGTCTAAGGGGTGGTTCCCCCAATGCCACCGGTAGCGTTACTTCACCTTGAGGCATAACTTCGACGCCACTGAAACCGTACAAAGCCGTTCGCACCGGTTGTAACGACAATCCTAGTTCCATTTTATCCAAACAATGCATGAAGATTATGTCTACTGCGCTCCCCGTATCCACGAAGACTCGCTCTACATCATAGTTCGCTATCTCGGCCGTGACCACTAATGCGTCATTATGTGGCTTGGCAACATCTTTAAGGTCTGAGGGTCCAAAGTGTATGAGCGGTATTTCCTCTGCAATCTGCACCTCTCCGCTTCGTCTATCTTCACCGAGCCCATTATGCCCAGTACCCTTAGACCCTGCATCGAGCTCTACATCGAGCTCAGCATCAAGTTCAGCATCGAGTTCAGCATCAGGAGAGGGTGGAGGAGCTGGTATCGAAGAGGGAACATCGACTTTTCCCTCAAGCCCCGCCACATGCACCGCGAGGCCTAGCGCAGGCTCCCACCAGGGATGCTCGTAGGGCAAGGATGAATCGCCACTAAAGCCGTCGAAGTCGGGAAGGTTAGTCTTGATCGCTTTCTTGTCAAAAGTCCCGGCAAATCCTGGCTTCGCGGCCTGCTCCATAGTGCGAGTAATCCCAAGTTCCAAGTACTGAGCAGCGGCAGGTGCGAGCTTGTGCAAGAAGGGCACAGAAGTGGTGTAGGCTTTCACAAGCTCATCACGGTAAGCCCCCAAGAAGCGCCGACCAATATCAGAAGTGAAGAAACTGCGAACACCCTCTTGACGATATGACCCAGCAGAGGCATGGTGTTTGGCGGTCAGCTCCTTCAGCTGATCCGATGAACGCTTCTTCTCTTGGTCAACGTCCACCTGTAAGGAGACAACTTGCTCCTTCAACGACGAGATATCCTTGTCATATTTCTGTCGCAGCTTAGCCATGTCCTCTTTGAGACGACTCAGCGTCTGAGCATGGCGGACACGAGCCTCCTCAAGCTGCCGCTTCAACTGATCGAGCTCAGTAGGGGCAGCGTGGACATCGTCCATCCCCTCCAACAGCATCGGGGTAACAGCACGAAGAAGCTGCACACAACACATGAGGACATGAATTAGGGTGCGATATGAGAACATGAATCAGGGTGTGATATGACAAAGGAGAAAAAATGACGTACCCCAGCAAGGTGTTGGACACCCTCACGAGCCCGCTGACGGGGCTGGCCATCATAGCGATGCACCTCAACATCCGGCAGGCAAGAGAGCAAATACCTACCGATAGCACCAGCATCCGTCTTCGGCCCAAAGTCGGTCGGAGCAACCTCCCGAGGCCTATTAGGGGAAGATCGAGCTCGCTTCTTTGAATTAGCTTCAGAAGGGTGTCCTACTAGGCGTTTGGGAGTCGCGTTCCCAGCATTCACAAGAGGCGCGGAGGGGTGGCTGGACCGGGTTTGCCGACTGGACTGCTCTGGTGGGGGTGAAGAGCGTCGAGCACGAGGCCGATCTAAGGTGGAGGGTCGAGCCTCGCGAGCCGCATTTGTGCCAGAAGCCTTTTTTGTAGAATAACGAGCGAGGACGTTATCTGCAACAAGTGAAAATACTCCATGTCAGCGCATAATGAACATAAGATACATGAAACATAGAACAACCAAACGTCAGAAGGACCGAATAACACATAGACGGATCACCACATGAGTCGAGCCAACATAAGATCGAGCCTGACCATAGGCTAACAGAACAACATAAGAGGGACACAAAGCAAGCAGAGCAAAGGTGCGTCACTAAATACCTATGGTGTCGGCCAAAGGTTCCTTCACGGTAGTCAAACCGGCAAAATGACGGAGACTCACATCCGCCGCGAGGCCCACCGCATCCATCGGGTCCTTATTCCAATCCTCCACGATCGACTTCCATAAGGGATTAGCCTTGGGTCGAGGTTTCGTGCATTGAGTCAGTTTCTCGTGCCTCCAAGACGAGGAAAACGAGAAGGTATTAGGAGGAGGGCGGATGAAAAAGAACTTCGTCCTCCAGGCGGGAATATTTGAAGGTAACTTTGTGATAAAATGAGCACCATTACGAGGACTAAGGTAGTGGGAGCGGGTATCTTCCTTAAAATTTAACCCATAGCTATAAAAGAATAGACCGGGATCGAGTCTTCGCAAACGAGCTCGACTCAATATGACGAAACAAATCATGATGCGAATAGTGTTGGGGGGAAGCTGATTGAGAGCAATATTATTAAACACATTACATAAAGAAAGAAGGTCAGGAAGACCGGAGAAGCGTAAGCCGAGACGGATTTGGTCTTTGAAGAAAGTGAAGCACCCATCTGGAGGGTTGTCGTAAGAGTGGGAAGGCTGAGGAACAATAAACCCCCAACCTTCAGGTAGCTCGCACATCGCCTTGAATTGAGCGATCTCGCTCAATGAAGCGCGAAAGAAGGGGTTAACCCTACGC